GGCTGGGCCGCGGCCGCGGAGGGCCCTCCGGCGCCCGCCGCGGGCTGCTCGGGCGCTGGCGGCGCGGCCCCGTCCCGCAGGCCGCCGCCGCCGCGGGACGGCGAGCAAGGCCCCCGGGCATCCCCCGCCGCTCCCCGGGCGCCGCTTGCCTTCGCGCCGCGTTCCTGCAGGAACAAAAATGCAACTCGCGATGGCACCGGTCCTAGAAAACCTGTAAGCCTGCCAGTGTGGCGTGAAATGTAACATTATGTTGCCGAAGCTAAATTAAAAAGCACGTATCCAAAATACTTTGCAAAAAATAAAATAAAACCGAGAGGTGGGGAGACAGTAAAGAAGGCGCCGGGCACACCCTTTTTGTTTCGACGATAATCGTTAGCGTTGTTTTAAGTAGCATTTTAACTGTGGACGTGTTGTCAGTTTTGTGTATCTTATACTGGTTTTAATGTTTCTGTTTGTCGTCGTTGTTTTATATTGTTTTACTCTGTATTTTATTTCATTCTGTATATTTTGTTGTAACCCGTCCAGGGAGGTGTATGGCTAATGCGGCAGATTTGAAATCTAATAATAAAGAATAAAAGCTTAGGGCAATGGGAAGGGCTTATCCTTGTGCCAGAAGGATAGGTGTGGATGCCAGCCAAAATGCCCCTGGCAGGCTTCTCCAGAGTGGGGTGGGGGGGGGAGCAGTGCTGAGAAAGCCCTCTCTTATTGCCCCTTTCCACGCCCCTGCTGATGGAGCACCTGAAGGGCACCTTGGCGCAGGTGCAGGTGGAAAAAGGGATGCTCTCCCATACCGCCCTCCCAGGCCCCGGAGAGCTTTGCAGGGAAAGGTGGCACGTGGAAGTGGGAGCCAGCACCCACCAGTGAGCCACGAGCAGAGCGCCTGACCCCAGCTAGCATTCCTGCAGCCATCCGTTGCACCTGCCAGAGTTTCTGGGCAGTCTTCAGCAACAGCTGCACTGACAACAGGTTCCAGCAACCCCAGTGGGAGGCTCTCGGGGCACGTATCGTGGCAGCCACGGCTGCTGCAGCCTCAGTCAAAGCTGTCCAGAGCCCTTTGAACCACAGAAGCTCCTGGGGTCTCCCATGTGGGCGAGTGAAGGGCCCAGGAACTCCAGCAAGCCTGTGCTGGAACGCAGTCCCACCTGGAACAGGCGGGATGCCACCCATCCGCCAGAGAACTGTTGCTGTGTCCGGACTGGCATTCAGTGTGTTGCCTGTTTCAGCCCATCTCCATGCCAGGCACCTGTCCATCGCCCCCGCAACCTCGCTTGCCTCCACAGCGAAGGAGCAACTCTGCACTGTTGAGAATGCCCTTTGGACCCCGAATGGCTTTAGTGGGTGTTTTCAGGACAGAACACCCGAGCAAAGATGCAGCAGATCTGAACAGAAACCCTCAGAAACGCCTTCTGTGAGCCAGCATGGTGCTGTGGTGAAGAGCGCAGGACTGGGACTTGGGCGCCCTGGGATCTTGTCCCCGCTAGCCATGGAGTCAACTGGTTGACTTGGCGCTGGTCACAGACTCAGCCCAGCCTACCTCACAGGGTTGTTGTGGGGATAAGAGTGAGAGCAGCAGGAGAATGATGTGAGCCACTTTGAGTTAGTAAGAAAAAAGGCAGGAGAGAAATCTAATCCATAAAAAAGTCCGATCGAAGTAAAAGTAGAACTGCAGAGTAGCCCCACCCACACCGAACGCAGGCAGAGGCTCCGGAAGGATCTCCCTGGGCCTTGAAAGGTCACGAAGAATCAGCCTCCAGGAGAAGGTCATCCCCAGGGAGATCAAGGCTGCTTCTGTGCTGCAAGCAGGCCTGAACCCAATTTAAGTGGACTTGGAAAAGTACTCTCGTCCGGGAGAGTCTGGATTCGGGCGGCCAGGAGACCCCTGAGCACCTGGCCCAAGGAGGGCACGTTCACCTCTGGCTGCCACCTCCTCCACACCATGCCCCAGAGAGCGGCTGGCTCTGCCCTGCACCCGGCCAGCCCCCCACCAGCCCCTGCTGTCCTGAGCCACGGAGGGCAATGCTGGGGGAATCGCAAGCCTGCCCAAACCTTCCTGAACCCCCTGGCCACAACCTCGGGCTCGCAAACCGAAGTGCCCCTGACTTTGCTGTGTTTTAAAGCCTTACATGGGAAAACACTGCAGGGTGTTTCTTTACTGTTACATTATCTGAAAAACAACATTACCCAGCAGCTGGTTAGTCTGACATACAGAATCATCATAAAATCAGTAGCATTTGGGACGATCTCAAAGGAATTGCTCCAGTGTACCCCACAGCTGACTACCTCATTTGCAGATAAACAGAGGAAAAGTTCAACTTGCAGAGATTTTGATGTTGAAAGATCGTTGAAAACTCGCGATACCTTTGGACTGGTGTGATTAGAACAGCCCAATCAAACACCTCCCAGTGAGCTCAGCGTGTCCTTCCCGTGCTGACACCAGCTCATGTCCTGAAAATGCAGCCTTTCAGAGGTCTGCAGCAGCTTCTCCCCCAAGCTTCGACTGAGCTGTGAAGGAAACCTGTGCCAAAATTCTTCATTTGAGTGGGTTGAGGAAAAGTCTTATACTGAAGTGACTTTTGCAATCACCACTGGCAAGTCCGCCTTAATTGTAGAGGCAATGTGATCCCACATCTGTTTTCACCATTCTGAAGATTCAGTGTGGCATTTCGCGACCTCTGGGGGGCACCGGTGGAGGGTGGACGTTCTCACTGCTCAAAGGTCTGCAACAAAATATTTCAAAAGAAGAGAACGGCAATCGATTTGGTGCAGTGCACATGTGTCGAACTGCAAAGATGGGAAAAAAGACTGATAGTTGCAGCTTTGATTCATGTATGAAGGAATGGGCCATGCATGTAAAGGTGTCTGCCAACAGGTTAAACATGCCATGGCCCTCGGAGACGAGGTGGAGAGAGCAGGGAAGAGACAGGCCACTTTTGATCAGTAATGGACAACCACTGCTCACCTGCGAGGGCGCCGGCTGCAGCTTGTAGATTAAAAGTGGCAGCAGCAAGGGAAGCCTCACCCCAGCACACTGCCTCCCTGGCGCGCGCAGCAACCCAGGGGCTGCTTGAACCGTAGGTTCTCACTGCAAGCCGAGTCAGCCCAGGAGCTCATCCTTCCATGGTGGCTTTGGGGCAGTCCCCCCACCCCCGCCCATCCCGCTTGCCAGAGCACGGCCTGCAACTAGCCCTACGCTCACATCCTGGAAGCATCCCCATGCGGGTTCCCCTCGGCCCACTCCTGCTGGCATCCCCCTCCTCGCTGTGGTTGCCTGTGCCTCCTTCCGATCCCGGGCCTCCTGGGAAGGGCCTGACCGAGCCAGCCACTGGCACAACGCCCTCTGCACGGCGGCAGGGGCAGGTGCTGCTGGCGGCCACAACAAACCTGCTGGCGCCGCGCGGGGGGATTCGCGGAGGCCGCCCAGACTGCACGGGGGACTGTCTGTCCACTGGCTGTGCCGGGCTGCCAAAGGGTCTCTTTGTTTCGGGCATCTCGTTATCCTGCACAAAGATGCAAATGTGGAAGTAAGTTTTTCAATCCAGGTTAAATCCATTTCCTTGCAAGTGGCACTGCCACTTTTTCTAAACGTAAGTAAAGCGAAGTTTAGCTTTTAAGAAAGCTTTTAAAAAGTTTAGCTTGAAAAAAAATCTCTGTGCTGACTTGTCAGTTTAATGCTCCATTTTCGGCCTTCAGTATAGCGACTCATTTATTCACCCTCTTCCTTTTGCATAGATGGCATGGGGCATCTCATAACGAGAGGCAGGAGGGGTGGGGGCAGGGCAGAGCCCCCACAGGTCCGTGGGCAGTGCTGAGGGAGCTCCCGGCCGCCGCCGCTGCTGGACAGAAGGCGAGAGCCAGGTTGCCCCGGTTGCGCCTGCGCCTGTCCCCCTGGGCAGGTGGGGATGCAGCTCCTAGCGGCCCTCCATCCCAGGCAGTGGCAAAGGTCTGCACAGCTGCAGCTGCCTTCGCACTCTGGCAGCCGTGGGTGCGCCTTTTTCTCTCTCCGCTCCCGCTGAAATCCCCAGCAAACGCTTTCACAGCCACCTTGTTGCCACTGGCTCCCTCCCTGCGGCCTGTGGCCTTCCCCCACTGCTCCACTGTCTAGGCCCGCCTGCCTGGCCTGACCTCTCAGCCCCCACTCAGGCTGTTGCCCGGGCCCCTCACAACACGCGTGATCGCGGAGCAGACGGCTGCCCTACACACAGAATCGGCTGGGAGGAGCTCAGCACAGCTGCCAGCACTGGCCGGCGAGGACGGTCGCAGCGAACTTTTACCTCGTTGTCTCCATCCACCCCACTGCTGATGCTCAACAGGCTCCGTGTGCTGGACCGGTTGCTGGAACTACCTGGTCAGAGGAGGAGAAGACAAGCCAGCCGCAGCTGGGGATTGCCTGGCATTTCATGAGCAGGACTCGGCCACCCAACCTTCCTTCCCAGAGGCTGCCCGTCAGCCGCCTCCCCAGGTCTTAAAAGCCCCGCTCTTCCTAGCCCTATAATCTTTGAAATGGGAAAGTCTCCCTAAAAAGATTCAGTCACTTGCTTGTCACAGCCAGGACCCATGTGCCATCCTCAGAAGGGAGGAGGTTTTTAAAAATCTTGCTCGTTCATTGTGAAATTGCACCGTATCCACTTGTGCGTCAATCCGGCTATTAAAGCATTACGTCATCTAATCTATGCAAGGGAAGAACTGGCATGGCTTCTTGGAGGGTGGAGAGGAGGTCCTCAGTCCACGCGGCCAGGGCTGCGACGTGGCTCACCCACTGCGGCACCTGCTGCTTTTGAGCTGCTGGGAGCTCGGAGGCACGCGAGAGCAGCCCTGCCGGTGCCCGGCTGCCCACCCGCAAGCCCTCCCGGGCCGCTGGGGGCCCCCGCATCCCCGTGCCCCCACCGGGCTTCTGGCCGCCCACTGGCTTACTGGTGGTGCTCGACGTGCTCTCCGTTCTCCAGTCCCCTCGCTGTATCTCCTTGCTGGGAGGGATGAGGCTTTTCCGGGGACCAAACTCATAAATGCCAAACTCCGGCTTCTTGGGAGCGTTCTGCAAATGTCCCACAGGCACCGTGATCTGCAGGTCTGCAAGGGAAGTGTCGGGATTCGGGATGGCTGCCTGAGCGCAGGAACAGGGCAAAACGTGTGTGGCCAGGCTGTGTTCCAGGCTGAAGGCACGTGCCGCCCGGCCATCCACACAGCCCACGGCACTGCAAGGAGGCGGATCCGACTGGCTCACTTCCGCCAAAGCGCAGGCCGGGAAGCCTGCTCCGGGCCCAGGCGTCTCCCTCTCCTCCGCTCCCGCGGACGGTGTCTGGGCAGCCCTGGGCGGCACGACCGCGACACGGGTACCCAGGGCCGTTCTGTGAGACCAGTGAGAGCCCCCTGTAGTGCAGGCCCCCTGAAGGGGCTGGCGCAGCCAGATGCCACCTTTCGTGGGTTCAGCTCCCTTGCTGCTGGGCGCCTCGATGCCCAGCCCAGCCGGAGTGCTGTTCTTCCCGCCAAGTAACTCTCTCCGTCAAATGAAAAGTGCCCCACGCAGCCATGGCAGGCTCCTGCCGCTGCGGTATAGCGCAGAAAAACGCTGCACCGGGCCCTCTGCCCCTCTCCCCACACGCAGAGAGCCTTTGCATGCTGCAGAGGCACCCGCGCCCTGCGTTCGAGGACCTGGCGGAGGGCGTTGTGGCGGCTTGCAGGCAGTCTCCAGAGCGCACGGTTGCTATTCTTCGCTCGTGGCTGCCCAGGGTATGGGAGCACAGCTCTTCTGAAGAGCTCGTCTTCGTAACCAAGGTGGTGTTACGGTCCCTGTCTCCACCATAGTGTTCCTACTCATGATCCTGCATGTGTCCCAGAACGCTGACAGAGAACGGGTGGGTTTGTTTGGCCTTCAGAATCGCAGGACAGCATGAAAACGACTAGAAACAATTCCTCGTGGCTCCCATGTTTGAGCTGAGCAGCTTAGAGAGGCCTCCAAGGCACATGGACTGAGGAAAGCAGGGGTCGTGCACGAGGTGCAACCGGCCATTAGCATGGAAGGCACCGTGACTAGAATAGAAGCGGAGGGACGGAGGGAGAGCTTTTCCATCTCTGGCTGAATGCAGCCACCGGCTGACGAAGCATTTTACCTGCGTGTTTGCCAGCCTTTTGCTTCTCAAGTTGTCGTCGAGTGATGCTGTCACGCAATTTTTTCAGGTTTTCCTGGAATTGCACAATTGCATGAGAAAACAGCTACATGAAGTGGGGCAATTTCCCATCACGTTGCACAAAACTGCCAAGATCGAATGTAATCCAACTAGATCAATGGGTTGCTTGTCTTCTTTTGAGGAGTCCATGCATAGGGGCTCGGAAAAGGATCGGCTAGCAGGACGGAGTGGCTTCTCAGCCACTTCCCAGGCTGCCCAGTCCACCCTCCCATGTTTTTCTAGGTCTGTTGATGTTGTTCCACTGCATTCATACCACGGTTGCTTGCTCTTGCAAGAAACCCAAGGCAAATCACAAGGTTCTCCTCTTTGCCATTTTATCCTCACAACAACCCTGTGAGGTAGGTTGGGCTGGGAGTTTGTGACTGCCCAGTCGCCCAGGGAGCTCCATGGCTGAGTGGGACCAGAACCAGGAGCTCCCAGATTCCCAGCCCAGCCCTCGGAGCGCCGGGCCATGCGGGACCCCTCGCGCCCACCCTTGTCCTGCCCACTGCGCTGCAGGGCGGCCCCCTGCAGTGAGCAGCTGAGCATCTTCTCAGCTTCTGGAGGAGGTGGGGAAAAGCCTGCACAGCCGTGGGGGTCTGCCCACCATCACTGCCTCACCCACGGCAGCATGGGCTTTGCAGTCATTCAGCAGGACGAAGGATCACTTCCTGGACCCTAGCAGTCACTCCTTGCCACCATTCAGCCTCCTGCCTGCCCCGACCGGTGCCTGCCCATCGCAGTCGTGCGCTGGTCTTAACCCAGAGCATTTTTCAAATTTAGAGCAACCCGTGGAAGAGGGAGGCAGGCACAGCGGCTCCAAAGACAATCCCACAGCCAGGTGGGAGCTGCGGACTGCTCAGCGTGAGTTGGGGTGTCTGGAATGGCTAGGATGGGCCAGGGGTGCAAGACGGAGCCGCTCCAACTGCACCCGCCTCTTCGGAGACTCACTCGGGTCAGGGCTCACTCCGCGCCTCCCCCGTTTCTGGCTGGGGCTGCTGAGGGGTGCCCCGAGCTTTGCAGGACCACTGTTGGGTGGGGGGGGTGGCAGGGAAGGCGGGCACCTGCCCTGGGGGCTCACAGGCCTTCCTTGCGAAGCCCTTCAGAGCTGCCTGCGTTCTTGCGAGGAGCCCTCACAAAGCCCAGATGGCTTCCGAGGCACGTGGGGGGTCGCCCACCCTTAGGGTGGCCCTGCCGTTCTTGCCAAGGGATTCGGGGGCTCCTTCTGGGGCTGCCTGCCGCCCGTTCACCCCAGAGCCCCTTCTGTGCTTGCAGGAAGTCCTGCACTCAGCCAGGCCACTCTTGGAAGGACACAGAAAGGAAAGCCGGAGGTTTTTCGTTTCCCCGCACTGGCCATGGAAAGCGAATCCAGAGCGATGTGAGGCCAGATTGTGCTGGGTGCGGCTTCACTTTTGCTTCTGAAAGAGCCTCTGGACCACAGACCTGCTGGAAGCGGAATGACTCCGATCTCTTCTTCTGGTTTAGCTGCCACTCCTTGAAGCAGAGGACGGCTTCATCCACCGTGAGCATGCCCAGCTTCACCTGCTCCTGCAGCGTGATCAGCTGTCTTTGGCCTGGGGTTTTCATCCCGGCAAACGGGTCGTATATGCTGCTTTGGGTCTGGCTCGGACCAGGGTCTCCTGGCTCTGGAAAAGGAAAGGAAATAAGCAAGCACTTGCAAGATCAACTTATTTCATGCTTCTTGGAATGGCAGGCAGTTCCATCGCATGACATGACTAGACATGTGAAGACCTAGAGGAAAATGTAGAAACATTTTCAGACTAACCCATTTACCCCATTTTGTTTCTCATAGACTGCTTTTCTTTTCTCCAAAGGGAAAAAAATAAAAATGAAATGTTTTGTATACTGAAATACTGTCTTTTAGAATGATGCATAATGTGTTGGAAGCAAAGTGATCATACAGTGCTCAGTGCCTTCAACCATGCAAAAGGATTTCTAAAGTCCTGAAGTAAAACTAAAGATGTAAAATTTCTGGAAATTTGTTAGTCAGGGGACAAAACCTTGCTGTAAGCTTCCTGGCATAGCTATTTCTTTTATTCCTTGTTAAGATTCTTCCTCTAATGTATGTTAAGGATAAACGTCAGGAGGGCTTCAAAGCCACGCTCAGTTTCTCAATTTGTGACTAAAGTTCACCATGATCAGTAGATGTGAAGAACATCAGCACCCTTGACAGTCTGTGCTCCTGGGCCTGCTCTGGTTGTTGCTGCTGTGGTTGTTATTATTGCGTAGCATGTGCCTCCTGCCCTCGGCCTCCTGTGAGGAACCCAGGCCAGCTTTGTTGTGGCTGTGTGCCGTCAAGTCATCTCTGACCGCCCTGCAGAATGTCTTCTCCTTCACAGTCCTGCTTCTCAGCTCAGGGCTGCGGCTCCCTTGATGGCGCCAGGCCACCTCGCCTTTGGTCTCCATGTCCCTCCTCGGCCTCTGACTTCCCCTGGCCCAGTGGCCTTCTCCGGGCAGGCCGGCCTCCTCCTGATGTGCCCAGAGCACGACAGCCTCAGCTTTGCCATTTGTGCTTCCAGGGAAGGTTCTGGCTTGATTTTTGGAGGCTTAGATAGCTCCCTTTTATCCTCACAACAACAGTCCTGTGAGGTAGGCTGGGCTGAGCGGAGTGACTGGCCCAAAGTCACCCAGGGAGCATCATGGCTGAGTGGAAGCTCAAATCCGGATCGCCGGGGCCCTGGCTAGTGCAGCATTCTCGCCACGACATGGCACTGGCTCTTCTGTGCGGCCACGACCACCACGGCCACAACCACAGGCAGAGGAAGAGTGGTCGAACCCTGGACCTCGACTGTGCGTCACAGTCACAAATAAAATGCCCAGCTATGGACACCCAGGAACGAGCCTGCTGAGCAATGGGAAGCGCATGGGAACTCGGCCTTACCTTTCTGAATGTTTCTTGCAGACACATAGAGGTTCCCAGGTCTTTCTTGATTTTTACTTGCAAATACTAGACAGATACGATTTATTTGGTTGTTAGTTTATGAAAATCTTCTGATGCTTTACAGCTAATATTAAACTTTAAAATGATTTAAATGTAATGCAAACATGAAGTGAAAAGCAGCATAAATACAACAAAGAACAAAACTCACCGCAATCCTGGACCCAAATTGCATGGTAAAGGCTACAGGTCCGGGATTCTAAAGGGCCTGGGACACCCCAGCCGGCTCCGCCTGTGCCTCCCATGTGGAGCTTCCTGTCCCCATAAACTGGCCTCCCCATTAGCACCTTCTGGGAGTGAGCCCAGCCGAGGCCCCACACGGCCCTGGAGGCGCTCAGGTGGTCGCAAGGAAGGGTGTCGCTCCCATAGCCCTCTCCGTGTCCCGTACTTTGGTACTTTGCCAGAATTCAGAATTCACACTGGGACTGGGAGGAGAAACCCGCTAAAACTGAGTGCTAGCGTGAAATGGCTGTGAGAAGCGCCCGGACTGGGAGCCTATCACGGGACCCCGGCTTTCAAAATTGTGGTGAGATTCGCTGGGCCCAGCCAGCACCTTTGTAAATGTAAGATTCTTTGTCCTGCTCCTTCGAGGGGACATCGGGTCTCGGCACAGGAACTGGCGGCCTGTTGACGATTTCATGGGGGAAGCTGTCGTGCTCCACAGTGTGGTAGAGCGCCTTGTCCTCACCCTCCTTGGGCTCCGGCACATCCACAGGTACGCCTAGGAAACGGGAGAACTCAGCAGATGCGCACGCCCTGTGTCCCACAACCAAAACTGTCCTGAGGCTTTTCAAGGGGTTCCTCCCCTGAAAGCAACATAAAAATTGAGCAAAGCATAAAGTTCAGAGCAGCAGAATGAAAAGGGTTAGTGGATGAGGGAGGCTGAGATGGAGTCCCGTTCTCTTTCTCCTTTCCGTCTGACGGTCAGCCAAGGCAGCCAGAGCGCTAAACGGCCGTGGACTCATTTGAAATGGAGTCAGCGCAGGGTCCATTTGCATTGGTTCGTGCTACGTTAGCCAGAAAGAAATCAGAATGGCATAACTGTGTGTTTGGCATGTGCTTTGCACTTTCGTGAAGCTGCACAGGTAAGCTCAGTGCTTGGAGCGCCAACCCCATTCCCCGGGCGGCTCCCCTGGTGGAAGCACTTTTTAAAAAATAAGGAGAGCCACCCGACACCGTCATTTCCTTTCTGCAGAACTCGGATGTATTTGCGCCTGCTCAAAACTAAGGCAGACGGAGAGCAGCGGGGCGTGGAGGCACCAGCGGGATGCATTTGGCACTCAAGGGAAAGGGCGCGCTTGAATCGCCCCAGCTGGGTGCCTAACCGAGCTCTACCCGGAATGCTCCGCATGGCAGTGCCAAGGCTCCGAATGGTGCCGGCAGAGAAGTGGGGTGGCTTTACGGAACTCCAGCTGGAAACCAAGCTTTGCCCCAAATGCCAAGGCAAAAAGAGCTGAGCTCCTACGCTGAGTGTTGCCTGATTTGGTTCTGCTTGGAAAAACAGAATTAGGCAAATCTCAGCGCCAGGATTTAAACCCTAGGCTAAGAAACTGCGGGGAAGCAACGGATTGGTGACTAAGGTAACTGTGTTCGCAACGGCCGTGGCAGAACCCGCGGGTGAAGCTGCATGTGCCGATGCTGTGGATGATGGAAGTGGCTGTGTCCAGCTGCCTGGCTTTTGCCACTGCAACACTCTGTAGATCGCTTCATTTGACTGGCATCACCACCTGAGTCAGGTGCGTGCCTGGCCTTCTGGACCCCATCGCCTCATCGGCAAGGAGAAAGATCCAGGAGCAAGAGAGCCCCAGCGAGGAGAGGCGAGGGACGGGAGCAGGCACGCGCTCGGACCAGTGGCCTCTATACCCGGCTGGCACCAAACCGCTCCTGGCGCTTCTCCGGCACAGAGAAGGAGCACGACTGGCTGGGTGTGGCTGGACCGCTGGGCGTGGCGGGACCCCCCCGCGGGTGTTCAGAGAGCGGGTGCTCCTGCTCTGCCTTCCCCACGTGCTCACCTTCTAAGAACTTGCGCATCATATAGGTCTTTGTTGTCCGTGCGCAGGGGCCGCTGTCATCCGACCGAAGCATCTCCACGTCTGCAAAACACACAGGCACACAATCCTCTCCTTTCTCTGCGAGCAAGTCTCGCCTGAGGAAGGATCCTGACACGGCGGCTGCCTCAGGCAAGGGCACCAGAAGCAGCCCTCGCCAGGAGACCGTGCACACGAGCACACGCACACCCTGGAGCAGGTGAATCAGCCCATTTATCACCAGCATAGAAAACTGAGTATCACAAAACATACAAAGAAAAAGAGTTCCAAGTATTTCAAGGCTATTCACTAAAAAAATCTACTTGGGCCTTGAAAGAGCGGAGGATAAAAAAACCAAAGGAAAGAAACCACTTCTATATATGCCATAACAACACTGGCTGTGAGACAACGTTCGTCCAGGCCGTTGACAAAAACTAGGAAAACAAGCGGAACTTGTTAATTCATACGCTCCTTACCGTAAACATCTCCCTTCTGCAAACAGACAGGTGTCGGTGTGGCGTGGGAAACGGGGTTATTCTTTCTCTTTTAGCACATTTGATGGGAAGGAGGGAACAAATGTACACACACACACACACACACACACACACAATCTGGACCTTCTGGTCCCAGCTCCTAAAAATGTGTGAAAACTCTTAAGCGCCAGTATCTCAGCCATACGGTATCTTCATTGCATCGACAGTGACACAGCCGAAGACATCTGAGCGGGCACGCCGCGCCACGCGGCCAGGCGGCAGTGCAAGAGACGTGCCTCGCACGATCCCCCGGCGCTTGCACGAGTGCATGCGAGTGCCGCCTCGCAGTGCAGCGAAGCGGATTTCAGCGGGAGAATGGCGCAGTGGACGTACACAGGTCCTCCGTGGCACCGGGGATCAAGCTGGCCATCGACTCGTAGAGTTCCTCGTCGCAGCCGGGGTTCAGGGAGCACTTCATGAGCAGATCGGTGGAACGGTGCGCCATGGACTCGTAGCCGGAGCCGTCCTCGTCGCCCTGCATCAGCTCCTCCTTTATGTGGCTCTTCAGCATGTCTGCCGTCTCCTAGAGAGGGGGAGGCCAGCCGGCTCTTTTCCGAGGCAGCGCACCCGTGCTTCCGGGCCCGCACCGCGGAAACTGAGGCCCAGTGGTTCGGCACCCCAACATTTGTGACCCAGACAAAAGTGAACTCTGCTCATGCCAGAAGTGACCCCCCCCCCCCCGCAAAGGGAGCCGGACATTTGTCTACATTTTCTCTGGAGATGCTACAGAGCACCAAGAAGGCCAAAGGTGACTGCGTGGGCGCTCCACGGCAGCTCCAGGTGAGGTTTCCTTGGATGTTCCTGTACGAGTCCCTGCTTTTTGGACCTGCGAGCAGGGATGCAGCCCATGGGTGAACCGGCACCCCGATCTCTGGAGGTTGCCCATCCCTGCTCTAAAGAGCTTCTGGGACACCGCGGCGCCGGCCAGAAGCGGGGTTGCTTCTCTCACCACGTATTCATCAATGAACTGCCGGAGATCCTTGAAGCCGTGCTTCTCGGCCAGGTTGTTGGGGTAGCAGCCATGCCTGTTGGCCACGCTGTAGGCCTGCAGGGCTCCTGGGCACGTCAGCAGCAGGGCGGTGAGGTTCTTTAGCCCGTATTTTGCAGCAAAGTGCAGCAGAGTCGGCAGCTCTTCGTCCCTCTGACCTGAAGAGCGAGGGGAACAGAACGACAACAGCTACGACGCGGGCAGGAAATAGGAGGCTTACAAAGAGAGCAGGAAATTTGCATCGCCCGATGGCTGTCCCACGCGGTACTACAGGTGCCCTCAGAGCTGCGCGGAGGAGCTCCTGCTCGTCCCGGGTGGAATCCCCGCACTTCGCAAAGGATTCTGGGGCCCGGATGAGGTGCTGCCTGCCCCCCCCCCCCCCCCGGGTTGCTCACCAGGATCCGGACAGCCTGGCAGCTCCTTGAGGCTCCAACAAGCTCACGGACAAGCCATGCGCTGGAAGGGCGGCTTGTTGCCCAGGAGCAAGCCGCCCCGTGAGAATCAGTCCCATTTGTAAGGGCAACAACCCACCAGGGCTTGCCGCCTGGAACGGTTGCTGCGTCACACAGACAGTACACACCCAGCCCCTCTTGCCCCGCGAGAGCCAGCAGCGTGCCCTCGAACCCCCTCAACCGCCCCACTGCCCTTGTGCGTTGCGAATCGCAACAGCACAAAGACCTCACTAAATTGTGCACTGTCTCTCAGGTGTGGCACCCGTTCTTCCTTTTTTGCTTGCTGAGAAAAAAGATGGATATTAATCTAATTAATAAATAAATGGAACATTTGCCCTTCATTTTGAGTCAGTCTTCTGCTGTATTTTGTTATGTTGTTCAATTATAAAATTTCTCAATAAAAATATGAATGAGAAAGTCAAACTGGGGTGGAATTTCCAGGAAAGCTGGCAGAAGCTCCAAGGGGCCATCCGCATCCCAGCTAAGGACCCGTTCATGCAGCCGGCTCGTGATGCGCCGGGAGCCCAGACCGCCTCCTCCGGCGAGATGCCCTCGGCCCGCATCCTCCCGCCCCGAGCGGCGCCCACAGAGGGCCTCCCAGCCACGGCCGCACTCACTGCTTATGTCCTCCTCCTCCAGCTGGTTGATCCCGAAGAGGTGCAAGCCGCAGGCTGGGAGGTTCTTCTTCAGGGACTCGGTCAGGATTTTGTCCAGCACTTCGGTGTCGCGAGGCACTATTTTAAATGCCTGCGTGCAAGAGGAGAACCACCGGTGCCGTTAACAGTTCAGCCAGTGCTGGATTCTGCTATGGGTGGGTTTGGCCATCATTTTAAACACATACAATGTTAAATTTAAAAACGGAGGAGGAGACTGGGAGGAGAAGCAGACTCGTGGAAGCAGCCTCGAGTCATTGAAAAGGAAAAGGGCAGGATATCAATAAGCACACAGCTCAAATAACCCAGAAGAAACGCCCCTCGGGGAGCAAAGCACCTTCAGTGGGAGCGGGCACCTCTCCACGCACGTCGCCACCACGCATGGCCTGCCTTGCCCACAAGGGCGCCTCCTGTGCCCATGCTGGGCAAGCTGAATGTGCAGGCGGCCACCTTTCGGGTGGCTCGCTCGTCGGGCTCAGTCCTCTGTCCCGCCGGTCACCACCGTGGCGTTTTACCTGGCACATGAACTCCACCGGATTTGCCGCTGCAGCCAGCAGGTGGCCGATTTCTTCCATGTCAGTGTAATACCGGACGCTCGCTTCAGCGGTTGCTAAGTCCCCAGAGAAGAGCCGCAGGCCCACGACTCCAGGGGGCAACTCTGTGGGCAGACAGAGAGCAATCACCCACCGCGTCCCAAAGCAGGGTCACGACACCAAAGAGCAACGAGGCCCGCTTTCCGTCTGCGCCCGCTGCCTGGGCTGAGGGACGCTACTGCGCACCCAGCCTCGCTGACAGGCAGGCCCTGCAGAGCACCTCGCTCCTCTGGCGCTAATCCGAATGCTGCATCTCCAGCCCTGGATCTGCCTCCTGAGCGATTACCTGGATTGTGACTCTTCCCACACCTGGTGGCCCCAGCGCCGGTTGCGGCTTAGACGCGGTCCAGGTGAGAAAGCGCTAAGGCAAGCGGCAGACGCCACGGAGGGGGCGCACGCTCATCTGAGGCGGCATCCCGCTTCCACGAAAGGACCGGTGGATATCATGGGACCCAGAACTGCCTCCGCTCGGAGCATCTTGCCAGCTGCTCTCCAGCTGTACCCATTTTGTTTCGTTGCTTCGGGATGGACTGCAGGCAGGGCGCTCCGGAGCCGTGGGTCAGCTGCCTAGGCCGCTTCTGTGCTCCACAGCTCCAGTGGGGTCTTGGCAGCTCTGCCAGCTGGAACCCCCGGAAGCCTTCCAGACACATCAGCCCCTGTGGGGGGACCAGCTGGACAGGCACAGAGGGCCACACCAGCATCCATCTAAGCCCCCGCGGGAGGGGACCTGACCACGGCAAAGGGGCCTCCTCAGGGCCCCCCACGCCCAGGGGAAAGAGACAAACCCTGCTACGTGTGTGGGGCTGATGGCATGCTGGGACAGTCCCGCGGCTGCCTTGGAGGCCGGGGAATCCTGAGCCGCTCCAGACAATATCACCTTGGCAGGGGGTGGGCACCCCCAAAGGGAGGTCTGGGGCCCTGGCGCCCCAGCCCAGACGGCCTCCGTCAGCTCAGGTGGAGAGGCTCCTGGGAGGGAGGTGGGGGGCACTGACGGGACCCCCAGTCCATCCCACTGGCCCAGCACAGGATGGACAGACCAGTGGCCCAGCAGGCAGAGAGGCGGACGGACAGACTGATGGATGGATGGACAGGGGGCCTGGAGAGAGGAGCGTTCTGCACCGCAGCACTATTAAGCACATGTGCAGAGTGCTGCCCACACTGGAAAACCTCAGAAAAGCTCTCTGGGAGCCGTCCTTGGAAGAGAGCAAGAGGGTGACTACCCGGAGGAGAGCCTTCTCTGCGGTGGCGCCCCGATCGTGGAACACGCTCCCCAGAGAGGGCTGCCTGGCCCCAGTGCTTCTCTCCTTTTGGCATCAGGCGACACCCTTTTTATTCTCACAGTATTGTAATTGTTAACCTGTTTTATTTAGAGGTTTTATATTTTAACACCGGATGCTGTGCAACTGTTACTCTTATTTCTATTCTTATTTTATTGTATTAATCTGCTATAAACCGTCCCAAGACGTCTGTGATGAGACAGCATAGAAAAGTTATAAATCAATAAGTAAATAAAATAAGAAAGAAAGACAGACAGACAGACAGAAAGAAGCTTTTAAAAATGTAACTTCTTGAAAATTAGAACTGCAGCTTGGGATGTTTGGCAGAGAGTGGGGGAAACAGGAAGCCCGGCTCGGCTTCTGCTTCCTGTGGCGACTGATCCCCACACATCTGCAGCTCGTGCCTCAGCCCCAAAGAGGCAGAAGCCCCCACTTCAGGCTGATTCAGAAGAGCAAAAACAGGAAGCACGGGCGGCTGAAATCGATGCGTCCCAGTCACCGCCCCACCCCTCTCTGGATCGCCGCAAACCGAAGACGCTTCCAGGGGCTGCTCTGGGGCCTTGGCCGGGGACCCCCTGCTGCGCATGTGCAGCCTCTTGCCACTGCCCCCTGGGACAGGGGAGTGTCGGCCGCTCTGCCCTGCCTCAGGGACGCAACTTGGCAAACAGGGCTCATGGTTGCACCTACCAGGTGCGCAGACGGAGACGGCATATTCGTTCTCCATCTTGGCTGGTACTCGCACTGGCTGGCGACCCTCCGAGGAAAATTCCACTTCCACTTTTACTTGGCTATCCAACTTGCATTTCAGGATGACGTAAACGACTGTCTGCACCTGGAAATGGAGGATCACATTTAAAAAGCCCCGTCTTGGGACCGTCCTGCAAACAACATGCCCACAGTGACCCGGGACTGGGAAAGCATTCAGATGCAGAAGCACTAAAGCAAGTGACAGAGCAGTTCTATCTGCCCACAAGCAAAAGGGATCAGCATGATCAAGACCGATCAGCTGAGAGGCAAGCGCCTGACACGCAGCAAGCCGTGAGGTGGAGCCTTCTGCACCGCGCAGAGCGGGACTCTGAGGCCGGTGCCCGCGCCCTGCCGGAGAGGGCGGGAGAAGGGCCGGAGACGCGAGCGCTGCAGGGGCTCTGCGGGCCCCGGGGCGCCGACTGCGCTCCCTCGCGCACCGCGCACCTGCTGCTCAGCCTTCCCATTGGTCAGCCACTTCCTTTTCCACCCACACTCTTTTCCCCACGCCTGCCCCTTACGAGACATTTGACCGCAAGGCCCCGAACTCGGGCACAACTGCCACTGCTATTGTCCCCGGCCTTCTCCCTCTTAGGAGGAGCCCAAGGTGGAGCGTGAGGCTCGCCTCCCCTCTGTGGCATCCTCACGACAACCACCCTGCGAGGCAGGCGAGGCTGGGAGCGAGCGACTGGCCCAGCATGCCCCAGTCACCTCCACAGCCAGAAGGGGACTGGGCTCGGGTCTCCCGAGCCCCCAGGCCAGCACCCTGACCCCCGCCCACGGCATCCGTGGGGAAGCCTGGGGACCAGTGAGTACAAGACGTTGTCCACATCGGCCTTGCAAATCCATGTGCCTCGCCCATGGTCTGGAGTATCCGCCACGGGACGCCTCTTGGGAGGCTGCCCTGAGGCCCTGCTCCCAGTGAGCTAACAGGCGTCCCTTCCCAGTCCTCCCTGGCCCTCGGAGGTGGGTGAGGTGCCGACCGCACGCTCAGGGACTGCCGCGGTGGGAAAGCAGGCTGGGCCACCTGGAGCACTGCAGACGGGAGGACAGCGGCGCTCCAGAGCAAGCCGCGTCCAGCGCTGCTCTTGCCTGGAATGTGAATGCCCACCGGCTCCCCGTGGAGCGGAGGGGTGAGCGGCCGGGGCTCTCTTCAGCTGATCCTCTGGCTCCTGCTGTTTCACCAGGAACACTTTTGGGAGCATCTTCCAAGCCACGGGGCGAGCAGGGGCGAGCAGGAGCGAGAGGGGGAGAGCGAAGGGGCCCTTGTTCCGTGCCCCTTGGTGACGCGAGGCTTGCCGGCAGCACCAGGAAGACTGGGCTGCTTGGCCGGACCACAAGTCATGCTAAACGAGGACGCGCTTTCCGTTTGATTCGGTCAGGCTGCCACACATGGCGGGGGGGGGCAGATTAAGCTCCCTGACAGACAGACCATTTCCCCTGGAAATCCCCCCAACAGGATGGCTGGGCAAAAAGTTCCCGTGATGGGGCCTTTCGCTGCCTGCCCAGCCCCTCCCCTCGCACGTGGGTGGCCCCAGGGAGGGCCTGCGTGTCTGGAGGAGGAGCACACGGGACACCCGCTTGTCCCCCCGCAGGGCCGTCCTGGGCCAGCCCGAGCCCGGAGCGGCCCACCCCACACGCGGCAGCAGAGGCCATACCGTACCCCGCAGCGAATGCGGTCGGGCAGCACCACGGCCAGGGCTCCCGGGGTGCCCTCCGAGGTCCGGCATGGCAGGCTCATCGCCGGCGTGCACGGCAGGCCCTGCTGGCCCCGGTCATCATCCCCTTCGGCGTCCGTCACGGAGTCACAGCCAGAGTCTGAGCAGAGCAGAAGAGGCAGCGTGGTTTCGAGCAGTGGCTCGGCCGCAAGTTCCTCACCCCACCAGGGAAGCACCTTAAAAGGAAGCAGAACCTCGGCGTGCCTCAGACCAAGCAGGCCTGCTTGAAAACGCTGCACATGCTGCTCGGAGATGGGACGCTCTCCCTTGCGCCCTCAGACGAATCCGCTGGCATCGAGAAGCCTCCCTTGGGCTCAAAAAAGACCTTGGAGTAATTGTGGGCACCAAGCTCAACATAAGCCAACAATGCCATGCGGCCGCCAAAAGGGCAAATGCTATTTTGGGATGCATTAACAGAAGTATTACTTCCAAATCACGAGAAGGAGTAGTTCCTATATACTCCTCACTAGTCAGACCTCGCCTGGAGTCCTGTGTCCAGTTCCGGGCACCAAGATTTCAGAAAGATGCAGGAAAATTAGAAAGGGTCCAGCGGAGGGCAACACAAATGATCCAGGGTTTGGAAGCACTGCCCTGTGAGGAGAGGCTGAAGGAACTGGACATGTTCAGCCTGGAGAAGAGAAGACTGAGGGGGGACAAGATGTCCCTCTATTAGTACCTCAAAGGCTGTCACAAAGAGGAAGGTCAAGGTCTCTTCTTGCTGATGCCAGAGCGCAGGACACAGAATAATCTATTCAAGTTGCAACAACCCTGATTCAGGCTGGTCATCAGGAGAAGCTTCCTCACTGTCCGAGCAATAGGACAGTGGGACCAGCGGCCTGGAGAGGTGGGGGGCTCTCCCACACCGGAGACATTCGGAACGAGACTGGACAGCCCTCTGAGTGGGAGGGTGTGACGTGGTGTCCTGCGCCAGCCTGCCTTTTTCCTACGAAGGGCGCAAGGCAGCTTCCATCATTCTCCTCCTCCATCTTATCCCCACAACAGCAACCCTGTGAGGTAGGCTGGGCCCAGAGTCACCCAGCTGGCTCCATGGCTGAGTGGGGACTAGAACCCAGATCGTGGGAGTCCCAGTCCCACGCTCTTACCCACTGCGCCACACTGGCTCTGCTCTTCTATGATTCATTTCCACGATGGGTGCAAAGCTGGGAGAAACCCGGGTTCAACTGGCAAAGGCATGTCTTGGCTTCAAGATGCTCAAGAGGCCCGTGAGGGTCAAGAGGGCAACCCCGAGCTGAATTTCCGCCGCTGGGACTGGGCAGGACGCCACGCAGCCCTGCACTTGCTGGCCATCCTGGACTGCTCAGAGCCCCCCAGCGGCCCCCGTGTGGCCAGTCGACCTGCTGCCCCTGAGCCAAGCAGCCGGGGGGGCTGCCGGGCGGGAGGAGCAGCATGCGCAGAAGGCGCCGGAGAGGCCTCCTTTGTGCCGCTGGGGGTGCTGGGGAAGGGACACGAAGGGCGCTTGGCACAGCAGGAGGTGCCGCAACTGCCTCCTCGAGCTCAGCTGCGCCAAGAGCTGGCCGGCCCATGACGCTGACTCATCCCGGCTCCCAACAGCAGGCAGGCAGGCCGGGCAGGCTTTTCAGTGCGATTGTTCCACTGATTTTTAAGAGAACTGTTATTCCAGATCCATCGCCATCTGCTCAGGCCCCTGCTTTCGCAACAACAGCTTTGTTTACTGGAGCGGACAAGTTTTGCTTTCTGGTACAGTCAATATCATGATGACAGGATCGCCATTTCCGAGAACTGCCTTGTTATGTTTCCTTTCATGCCATTCAGCCACAGCAGAATTTAGAAGAACCAAGTGCATGCCAAAGTGACGCTGACTCGTGCTTCAGCCTCCAGCCTCTGCTGCAGCGGCATGGAAGCTGCTCCCCACCTGGAGGCGCAAGGCTAGACCCCGGCCTCTGCGCCCTCACAGTCTGCTTCTGTTGAGGACCTGGCTGCTCCATACAAGGCACTCGAGGGTCTGTGCCACCATTGCCACCAATTTCCCCCTGACTCCGAGAGCTCAGCAGCCCCGTTTAGCGTGCAGAAAGATAAATCCCCCTCACAGAGCCGTTTCACCATCACCGCCGTGCTCCTGGGCCAGGCAGTTTTCTCTAAAGACGTGGGCATTTAAATGTTTTCCTGCAAATGCTCTGACCTAGCCAATTATTTATTCATTACGTATGTATTAAAAAGCTTTTCTACGCCGTCCTTTGCCTCGAGTCTCACGCACAGGACTGCCCCTTCTTGTTCTGCACCCTTTCAATGCCCACATGCAGCCGCTGCCCACAAGACGTGGCTGGCAGGCAGACGCGCAGAGAGGTCTCGCTGCTGCACGCGCCCCGAGGTGGCAGGTGTGACTGCAGAAGCACCCGGGCGATACGGATCACGCCAGCTGAAGGCCACGTGTGTTCTCTCGATGGGTTTTGCGGTTGGCAGGGCAAGATCTTATCCTTCCACACTGCCATCATGACTATCTTGCTTTCTGAAAATCCTTCCAGGAAAGCCACAGACTTGTGCTAGCGCCCACATGGCTCTCCTCCTGGCTGTGGCCACTCTGGATCTTCGCTACAAAGGCAGCCTGCCAAGAACCTTAGAATCATAGAAGAGTAGAGCTGGAAGGGGCCACGAAGGCCATCAAGTCCACCCCCCTGCTGGTGCAGGCCACCACGTCACGCCCTCCCACTCAGAGGCTGCCCATTTCTTCCTGAACGTCCCCAGCGTGGGAGCGCCCACGGCCTCCCCAGGCAGCTGGCTCCACTGTCGCATTGCTCGGACCGTGGGGAAGCTCCTCCTGATGTCCAGCCTGAACCTGGGCTGTTGCGGCTTGAACTGATCGTTCTGTGCCCTGTGCTCTGCTATCAGTGAGACGAGATCTTGACCTTCCTCTTTGAATGGTGGGAAAACGGGCCTCTTAGAAGTGCTGCCCTCCTGTCCCACAAGTCTGCCATTCAGGCCACGCATCAGAGAAGTGGCGGGAGAGGGGCTCCCCAGGGGCACACGCCCCAGGCAGGCAGTGCAGCCACGCCAGAGGCCACCCTGATCCACGCAGAAGCCCCCGCAGTGGCACGTCCTTTGCCTGCAGAGGTGCCCCAGGCACATCCTCCTCTCAGGAACAAACGGGCCACCCTCAATCCATGGGGACCCACACCAGGGAGGGAACCCGGCCCCGGCCTGCCGCAAGGGCCTTGGTCCGGATCCGGGCCCGCACCAGCCATCGCTTGCAAGGGGGTGTCCGTGGGTGAGACCAGCAAAGAGTGGCCCACTCTGGAGGGCCGCACAACCCCCGTGGAGGCGCAGGCCGCACTGCGCCAGCAGACATTCTTGCCCCTGCACAGGGAGGCTCTCCGCTGTGTCCCTGCCCCGAGGGAAGGCAGCAGAGCGAATGCAGACGCCGCGTGTTCGCTGCGCAGCATGAAAGTGCCTCTCCCTCCGCCTCTTCCCCTGTCCGTGCATGGCGGGAGCTCCTTTCAAGCCACGGACCGGACCGGACAAGCCCCAGCACTGCTGCACCAGCCGGACACGGCACGGGCGGCCATTCCTGCAGCCGGCCGTGCTGCCGCACAGGGAAAGTGCCCACGAGTCCAGTGGCAGCCGCTCCTGCCCAGGCCTCCTCCCTCTTCGGCACGGGCCGCTCTAGCAGGCCGGGCAGCGGCACACCGCGGCTCCTGGGGCCACGGGAGGAATGCGGACTGAGCGGCTTGAGCGCGGACACCCTGGGGTCACTGGCCTTGCCGGGGAGGGTGGCTGAGCCCGTGAGGGCCGGTGCCGGCGGCTCACCTCCTTCCGAAATAGCGCTCACGACGGCATTCACGTAGGCCTCCGGGTCGTCGTCGCAGGTCAGCGGCTTCCAGCGGGGCCAGTCCCTGAAGAAGTGCCGGTAGTCCTCCCACTCTTCCACGCCACAGAACAGCTTCACCACCTTCTGCGGTGGCTGGAGGACGTCCTGCAGGCTCTGGCGGACGGCGGGGACACGGAAGTGCTGCACCAGCTCGGTGGAGAGCAGGAGGACGACGCACCCGCTGCCCCGGAAGCGCTGCAGGGCCCCGGCCAGGACGGCCGCTCCACCCTCCAGGCAGCAGCTCTGGACGTCCCGGCCCAAGCAGAGCAGGCTCTCCAGGTACTGGCACCAGTCGTCCGCATCTCTCGCGTACAGGATCAGCACGTCACATGCGCCAGGGCGCACCTCTGCGGGGGAGAGAGGAGGGAGAGGGGCTGTGCACAGGTGCTGGGGCCCCCGGCGGGACACGGGCCACGGCACGTGGGCGACTGCGGCCCGACCCGCCTGTGGCAGCCACAGCCAAAGTCCCTTGCAGGCTGGACAGCACCGGCCTGCAAACGAGCCACGGCTCTCTCCCTGCGCATCCTGCTCCCGGCTCTCGCAGCTGGGACGCGATGCCTCACGCTGGAAGGCCCTTGGCTGCCGCGGCCCGGCTGCTGCGGCCCACAGCTCTGCCCGTCACCCCTTCTGTGGCAGCGAAGCAGGCCTGGGTCTCCACCAGGCCCTTCCACGGATGCGCCCTGCGGCCTGCCCTGCCATTGCCCCTCCTGCCCAGCCAGCTGCTGATGCCTCTGCTGGGGAACATGGCCCCAGGCGCCCAGGGCGCCTCACGCGCCCAGGCACCCCCGGTGCCCGTGCGCTGGCAGCAGCAGCAGCGCAGCCCTCCAGCTGTTCACAGTGCCCTTGTAGGGCCCCGCCGGAGCGAGCTGCTTGGCTCCGGCCCCCCACTCCACTCCCAGTCGCCCTTGCCTCTTCCGCCCTCCCTTGTCCTAGGCTTCCTGCTCTGCTCTGCTCTGCTCTGCTCTGCTCTGCTCTGCTCCACTCAGAGCATGTCCGGGAGCTCTCAGGGTGGGGGCAGGTGGGTGGGCACAAGACCTTGTGAATTGTACTGGATGTTATATGGAGCGATGGGTGGACCTTCCCCACGTTCTTCTCCAGCTGTTTGGAAACAGTGATTTGGCACGTTTGCCGAGGAAGATTTCTAGAGCTACGCCGTCAGTTGCCATTTTCCTGCTACAGCATCGACTGGAAAGCAGGAGTTAATGCAGGCAGGGCAGAAAGGCAGGAGCGACTGCAGTTGCTCCTGGGGGTTCCGTGGGGCCGTCTCCCCGGAAGCACCCGCAGGACTGGAGCCCGAGCGATCTGGCCTGATTCCCACACGCTCTGAGGGCTGAGTGCTCCCCTCCAGTCCCCCCACCCAGCACAGCCCCCCCTCAGCTCATTCCTATGCTTGTTTTGTCATTTGTGTTTTGTCTAAATTCAGTGGAGAGAGAAAGGCACTTTGTACGTGCACGGAGGCATTATCTTCATGGCTCACTCGTAGTGTGAGCTGGACTCCTTGGCTAAGTTGTGGCCAAGCTTTGACACAAAATGGGTTGTGAGGAACAGGCAGAAAGTGCTGGAGGAAAGTTGGACGGCTCTGACCAGCGATCTGCCTGACGCGCGGGCCCAGGGGCAGCCCTTGCCAGCTGCCTCCCTGCAGGACGTGCGAGGGTGGGGGGCCACCCCCCTTCGTTCCTGAAAGCAGTGGGGCAGGGCGCTGTGTGCTGCACTGGGAGGGAGCATTCGGTGCAGGGGGCAAGAAGCGGGCCGCATCCCCGCCCTGCAGAACCAAACAGGGAAGAGAAGAACCGGGAGGACTGGCTTGCCCAGGATGCGGGAGCCCGCCTGTGACCCAGGAAGGTGCTCCGCAGGGCTCCAGGCAGCCTCCCTGACACTGGCACTTCATGTTTCAGTGGCTATTTTTATAGCGAGTGGCATATTACTTTGGGGATATGTTAGCTTAGCAGGGAAGGTGCTGTTAAATAGCAGTAAATTATAAGCTGGGAGCCATCAGGCACTGAAAATGGGTCTAAAGGTTATCCGAGCGAAACTTCCGTTCAGTGTATTTGGAACAGCCCCAAAGCGAGTCCGCAAGTTCTCAGGGATTTCGGGGGAAGCCGAACTCAGTCGCACGTCAGCCCAGCGGCTCGCCTGTTTCTGCAGATCACGCAGCGCGCACAGGCGCTTGCACGAAAGCTGGGCTGCCGCGCCTCGCTGCGGGAGGGGCTCGGCTCGCCCGCTCCCCTGCTGTCGGTCCCGGCGCTCGGGCCGCTCTGGCGCAGGGAGCCGCCGCGGGGAGCGGCTCCCCGGGCAGACTCGCCCCGGCCAAAGGCCCGCCGCCGGACCTGGAGGGCCACGTGGTGGGGCGCCCCCGCTCCCGCAGGCATCCGCGAGCACCCTGCCGGGGCTCCCCCGCCCCCGCGAGCCCTTGGGGGCGTGCAGCGGCGCGGCTCGCTGCGCAACGGTACCAGAAAGGGCCCGACGCCTCCGCCGGCTCAAGGCGGCTGCCCCTCGTGCGCCGCGCCTGCCGGGCGCCCCGTCCGGCCTGCAGATCCGCGCGGAGGCAGAGCCGCCCGCTGCCTGCCCCTCAGCCGGTCCCGGGGCGCCCGGCAGGCGCGGTGAGGCGGCGGCGCGGATTCGCGCCCGCGGTTGAGAGGCTGAAGCGGCCCGCGGGCGCTGCTCCGCATCTCGGCGGCGGATCCAGCCTGGGCGGCGGACGAGCGATCCGCGGCGCCCAGCCAAGGATGCCTCTCGGCTGAGCGCGCCCGCCCGCCTCTCCTCTCCACCACTCCACGCCGGCCCTGGCCCCGGCCCCGGCCCCGGCCCCGGCCCCGGCCCCGGCCCCGGCCCCGGCCCCGGCCCCGGCCCCGGCCGCCCTGCTCCTCTGGGGACGCGGCTCTTCGCGCCCGCAGGGCCCCCCGGCCCGGGTCTCGCAACCGCTCCTCGACCGCCTGGGCTCCGCGCCCCAACGCGCCCTCCTCTTCCCCCGCCTGCCCGCTCGGCCCCAGCTACGGGCTTTCTGCGAGGCTTGGCTAGAGCTCCGCGGGTCCTTCCAGCCTCCGCGCTTCCACTCCAGGATCGGGGCCCTGAAGCACCCCTACAGATCAAGAGGAGGACGAAATTTAAAGCCCCGCGGAGGCCTCCCTGCGGACCTGCTCCACATGCCCCTCCTGAAATGGCTCCCCCGCAAAAAGCCATCGCCGGAAAGTGCCTTCGGTGGGTGGGAAGCAGCTGTTGGAAAGGGGCTGCGCAAGAAGAGCCGCGCCAGCGCTCCCGCGGCGCTTTCCCTGCGCTCGGACCTGCCGGGAGGGTCACCCTGCTTCCGTGCGCGCTTCCTGTCGCGGGGGCTGCGCTGCAAGCGCGGGCGCATTTCTGCCCCAAACAGTGGCGGTTGCGCATCAGAGGAACATCTCGGTCCTCGTACCGGCTCAGCCAGCAGGCGCCAGGCAGGCGGAGGGCTGTCTGGCATGGCCACCCCAGTGGCAGCGGGGCCTCAGCCAAACCCTGTTCAGACCTTTCTGCGCACACTCACGATCCACCGAACAAGTAACGTACACTGGTTGTGAGCAGGTGTAAAACTGCACAATGGAGTGGATGGAAAGTTTGAACGTTAAATTCTCCCCCACTCCATGCTCCCCCACTCTCTCCCCCAAGAGAGAGTGTGGGCGGGTGGGTGGGCGTGGGAGTTTCCATTAGCACCAATGGAAGTGCTCCGCCCCCCAGCTTAGCCCTCCCCTTCTTTGATCTTGAAAAACAGCCCCCCCCCCCAGGCAATCAAGTGAAGGAATCGCTGTTAGTATCAATGTCCATGTCCGCCATCCCGAGGGTCCCCCACTAATAGTCGCCCTCTGCTCCCAGTCCGACAACCATCCCTAATCCACCGGACCGTGCTCGGTCTCTCCCGAAGCTCCTCATTTTCTCCACCGGGACATCGAGGGGCACTTTGTCAGAGGCCCTGCTGAAATCCAGGCAAGCCACCTCCACCGCGTCCCTCCGCCTGGCCACCTCGAAACCTTGTAGGAGAATCCCACAAGGTTCTCAAGAAATGCATTGTGCGGGGATCTGTAGGCAGGCTGGTCGTGGTTGCCTTGGAAAAGCATGCATCCTGAACCCAGGGAATTCTCCCTAATTCATTCATTTACCAGATTTATACAACCCCATTTTAAACATCCAGCCAGATTCCCTGAGCCACAGATAAGAAAAACAGAAATAAACTAGGCAGTTAACATGTTTACAATTACCTTGCAAGAATAAAATTGTGGCTGCTCAATCGGAGGGCCAAGTTTAAATCAAAATGTCTCCAGCAGGCAGTATCTGTGTCTGTCTGACACTGCCAGGCAGGGAGTTCTACAGAGTTGGTGGCAGCAAGTTTGAGGCCCTCCCAGTGGGCTCTCAGTGGCCCCCCACTTCATGGGGAACCCCGAGTACCTCACCAGAGGGCTTTGGGGACCGCGTGGGCTGGTGCGGGGGAAGGGACTCAAATATTCTGGTCACAGGGCTCCAGCCTGGAGGCTTCTCACACCAGCCATGCATCGCACCCAGCGCCTGCCCGGGCCGCCCGGATAAGCTGCGCAGCTGCTGCTTTTCGCAGGGCCCAACCTCACGGGCAGCTGCACACACAGCCTGCGCCCATGGCCCCACTCCACTGCGCCCCGGTGGTCCCACGCAGGTGCAGGGAGCATGTGGGGATACGGGCGCAAATGGGCCTACCTCTGCCCAGAGAGAGCCGTCTCTCTCCTCCTCGTCCGCTGCTCCGGAGCAGCAGCATGGCCGGCCACCTGGGGGCGGGAGGGCAGGAGGCACCAGTGGAGGGGCGGACAAAGCGAGCGAGCAGCCCGGTGGCTGTGCGGGGCCACAGCAAAGGGCATGGGAGCATCACGCCCCGGCTGCGGCAGCGAGCTCCACGGTGCTCGAGCAGAGCCACCAGCCGGAGCTTCGGATGCCTGAGCGCCAAGACACACCAGTGCCAAACGTGGGCGGAATATCTGGCCGTGCCTTCACGTCCTGCCGTGCTGCACTTCCTCTGCTGGGTGCTGTGGGCGTCATCCTCATGTGAGGACAGCTCACCCCCTCACAGCGAGGGGCAGGGCTGAGCTCCTCCTTGCGCACCACCCCCACAGGAACTTGTGCTCAGAGGAGGAAGGGAGTGCTGGCGGAGCTGCCTCTCTCCAGCCGCAGAGCTCCGGGGACCCGGGTGCTCCGAGACCCACCGGTTTCAGCGGCTCCGTGCACCTCCTGTGGCCCGGGACCAGGCTGCACCTTCGGGCCCACAGTTTGCCAAACTGCATGGCAAGGGCAGCAAACACGCTCAGTGGCCTAAAGACGCACGGCCCGTGTGCTGCAGGGGCCACTCTTCCAGCGCCGGGCACTGGAACCGAGAGGCCAAGAGGAGTCCCGTGGCCAGAGAGGTTCAGGAATGCTGCTGAGCTGAGCAGTTTCTCCAACCAACTCTCGCATTTCTCAACTGGCGCTTCCAGGCCAGAAGGCCTCTGAGCGGCTGATTTATAACTGCCAAGGCTATTCAGAACCAGGGCGGAGGGCGGGCGGGCGGGCAAGTGCGACAGCCACACGTGGCATCCCAGCCGCCCGATGCGCGACCTCAGGAACGGATGGAGAGGGACCTGCGCTCCGACAGCCAGCATCCCCGGCAAGAAAGGACGCTTGGGCCTTCTTCCTTCTGAACATGACTCTTTTCAGTCTAGAAGCACCCGCCCAGCTGAGTTAGATGGGGCTGAGGCGTGAGGGGAAAGGTGTTGTGCCGTAAACCCCATGCAGCCTTTATCTGGCGGCGAGGCCCTTTGAAATCGCCTCTCAGCAATTTTCCCCACCAGCACCGGCCACGCTTGGATGCATCAGCCTAGAATCGGGCTGCACAGCTGCCCTCCGGGGGCGCCGAGGCAGGCACTGCGGGTCGGTCGGTCAATTCCAAGAGCCACACATGCCACAGCGAACGCACAAAGCGGCGCTGCACAACTGCAGATCTGGGCAATGGAGGTGGCAGGCAGGAGGAGCTGGCAGTGAGGCGGCAGCGGTGGGCACTCGGGCGGTCACTACGCCCCGGTGAAGAAACGAGACGGATTGCTTCACTCTTCGGCTCTGCCGCAGAAGGCAAAGAGCAAAGGCCGCGGCGCGCCGGCTGGAGCCGCGAAAGCCGCGGGCGGCCCCGACGCGGGTCGCGCCCGCCCGTGTGTCTCTGTGCCGCGGGATTGGGCACCGCCGCCGAAATAATGAACGAACCGCCTGCTCGGATCCGGAAAATTCGGGCGAAGCTACTTCCGCGCGTCCGGGCAGCCAGCTGGTGCCGGGGCCCGGCCAAAAGGAGAAGCGCTTCCAGCCACTCGGCTGCACGGCGACCCAACCCGAGGCCTCGGCAGCCGCTCCTCGCACTCGCGGGCTGGGGGGAGTCTCGGGGGACGACAGAGTAACCGGGAGGGGATGGAAACGCTCCGGGGCGGCCCAAATTCCAACGCCAGCAGGCGACCTGCTGGCCGCCGCGCCGCGCCGCGCCCCGCCAGGCAGGGCAGCCTCGCCACCGCGAAGGGTCCCGGCGCCGACCTTCCGGCGCTCCGGGGTCCCGCGCCCGACCGGGGCCGCGCTTACCTGGGGCCGCCGCCATGCCGGACAAGCGCCTCGCGAAGCGGCGCTGCCCACGGTCGCCAGAGGAAGCCGCCGAGCGGGCGAGGAGCCGGGCAGCCGGGAGCGCCGCCTCGCTCCGGGCGCGGTGGGCGCTGCGTCGAGGCGAGCGGAAGGGCTCGGGGAGCCGGCTCCGAGGGGCCGCCCGGGCGCCGAGCACTTCCCCGCCCCTGCCTTCCACTTTCCCCTCGCCTCCCACGCGCGCCGGCCCGGCGCTCCTGGCCGGGGTCGCGGCGCCGCGCGTGCAGGCGCTCGCACGCCCAGCCCGCGCTTGCTCTAGCTCTCGGCTGCGCCGGGGCTGCTCGCCCCTCTCCTCGTTTCCCCGACGCCTGGAAGGCGCTTCCTCAAAAAGGAGGGGCAGGGTCGGCGCGGCGCAGGGCAGGGCCCGGTAAGCCTCGGCCAGCGCATCAGGCCGCCCGCGGGTCAGCGCAGCAAAACCGGGGAACGCGGATCTGCCCCAAAGCTGCACCGATCCTCGCAAGGCTCGGACGCGCAACAGCTGTTTCAAGCCGGCGCGGGGCGGAGGCTGCCGCGGCCGAGAACGGCCTCTCCGGCGTCTCTGGGGCACGAGCCTGGTCCTAAAAGCCCACAAGGGGGGCCGCCGCGCCCCGCCACGCCGAGCCCCACCCTCCGGGAGACGCCGGCCCCGGGGAAACGGCGGGATCGCCTAAAAGTAGTGGCAGGCTAAAGCGCGCTGCGGGGACCGGGAGGGGGGCGCAGGGGCCTGCGGCCCTTCCAAAAGAGGAACTTCCGCAAGCACGCGCACGCGCCCCCGGCGGCACGGCTGCGCCTCCTCGGGGAGCGGGCTGCCCGCACTTTCGACCCGAACGTGTGAACCCGCCCTCCGCTGCGTCGCGGAGCACCACGCACACACGAGCCGCGCGTTTCGCCCGCAACCCTCGGCTCCCTCGCTTCCGCGTGCGCTGCGGCCGCTTCCTGCTGCCCGCGAGAGAGTCCTACCTTGCATTGGGGGCTGCGGGCTTGCCGCGGACGGAGGCCGTCCGTCCGTGCGCGCCACTCCCGCGGGATCCCGTGCGCGTCTCCTCCGACGGAAACCCCGCCGGAGCTAGCTGGAAGCAGGCGAGGGCGGCTTCAGGCGAGCGCTGCGGATCGCGCCGGAGAGGGGTTTTGCATTCAGCGCCCGTGCGGTCACCTTCCCAGGAGAGGCGGGCGCTCAGGCCGGGCGCGGGGCTGCATGCGAGTAGCGCCTGTCCGTGACGTCCCCCACCTGAACACCCCCTTCCTGAGCTGGAAGGGGAAGTTCCCGCAGCCTGCGGAGCGTTCTCAGTCGGTCCACCGCCCTCCCCGAGTCATGGATCCGGACGGATTCCTGCTGGCTCTGGGGGACTTTCCGCTTGACAGATGACTGCGCTTCTGTCGACGCCCTCCTCGATCCGTGGAATACGGAAATGACTCGGGCGGCCGACACGATCGCCCCTGCGCGGCCTCTCCCGCTGTGCAAAGCAGGCGCAGCGCCTTGGCATGCTGCTGCGTTACGGGCGACGAAGCAGGTGGGAGGCGGAGAAGAAAGAGCTCGGGCTGAATCGGCCGAACACCCTCGAGAGCGCATTGCCAAGCCTACGCTGGGGCGGGGAGGGTGGCAAAGAGGGAATGCTGCTCTGCTGCCATTGCCTCCGCACGGTGCCGTCCAGCAGCGCTTTTCCGGGCCCATCACTCTCTGGGCCCAAGACGGCCCAAGCGCACCATCGGCAGCTGCTGTGACAACTTTGCCCAGTGCTTCAGATCTGCCACAAATTGGACTCCACAGCTGAGAAGGCCCCGGAACGGGAAGCGTCTGCTCCACCGCTGCTGGGTAGGTTTCAACTACTGCAGCCTGAGGATGCGGACAAGGTGCCTGGATGAGTTGGACCCACCGCTTGCCCCTCGCCCCTCAGGGCTGCTCACCGGTGCCAAGGTTAATGCCCCTCTAAGGAAGGGTTGGGTCCCCGCACCATTGAAGGCGGCCATGATCAGACCCATCCTGAGGAGGGCAAACCGGCACCCAGAGGCTGCCTCCGACCATAGACCGGTGGCTAACATCCCATTCTTGGGCAAGGAACTTGAGTGCGGGGGTGACTGGCAACTCCAAGCTTTCTTGGAGGAAACCGATCACCTGGACCCATTTCAGTCTGGATTCAGACCTGGCTATGGGGCTGGAACTGCCTTGGTCTGGGGTGGAGGTCCTTCTTCAGGAGCCCTCTTTGGAGATCAGGAGAGTGGCTACTACCTTCTCTGAGAAGGGCCTTCTCTGCGGTGGCACCACAGCTGTGGAATGGGCTCTCCAGAGAGGTGTGGCTGGTGCCAACGGTTTTTTCATTTTGGCACCAGGCCAAATCCCTTATTTTCCCATTATTTTAAATGGTAGCACTGTTTTTAAGATTGGGTTTATACATTAATCTTGATGCTATATCTTATTTATTTGATCGCTGCCCTGAGACACTGTGAAGGGCGGGATATAAAAAATTTAAATAAATAAATAAAGGTTGGTTACCCCATTTCAAAAGCTCTACACTATCCTTTTTTGAGAGAAAGGGTTCACAGGGGTGCCTGTTATTCCAAAGTGAGGGCACGGCATGGATTTCTACGGAAGCCGTGCAGAACTGGCGGTTTTGCTTGCAATCCATTTCCTAATGCTCTCCAGTAAGGAGCTTGCCTGCTTCTCCTCGCCTTCCCTCTCACACATGAGCCAGTGCTGTGGCCTGGTCATTTATGGTATCTGGAAACAGCATTTGTTTTTCGTTATTTGTTTTTCAGCGCCAGGCGAAGACCTTTTTATTCAAATGTCATTTTAACTGTTAATAGTATTTATTTATTTAATTAATTCTTTGGCCAGGGCGACTTATTTTATACTGTTAATTTATATTATTATAATTGAAGTTATTTATGTTTGTGAGCCGCCCCAAGGCTTCGGCGAATGGGGCAGCATAGAAATTTTCCAAATAAATAAATAAATTTGTCAAGACTGAAGCCAGCATTTCTCCAGTTTATGTGTGGATAAATGAAGTTTCCCATCAGACACACCTTCTCTGTTCCCCTCCAATTTCTTCCTCCACCCGAGGGGGAACATCCTCCGTACTGAATTACTTTTGGCGCCTGCCGCCAGCTGCCTGTAATGCTAAGCAATGCTATGTGGCCACTGCATGGCCTGGTGTCCCGCCTTGTGTCCCGAGTTGACACATTCACACAGCCTCTGTGCACGCGTGTTTCCACGCTCCCCCGTCTTCCCCCAAGTGGCCATGCACAGCCCAGCAGCCCCCGTGGATCAGCAGCGCTCGCAGGGGCCGCAGCTCCGGCCTGTCCGATTCTCCAGCACTGGCCCCCTGGGCGAGCCTTCAGGCCGCCGCCTCCCCGCCCCCGCTGCTCTAGCACACACGATGTACGTGGTACCGATGTTTGACTGGCTTTGACTTCTAGCAGTTGTTTTCTCCAGATGGTCATGCCTTATTACTATGCACAGCACCTTTAGTTTCGTCATTTTTGCTTCCAGGGCAAATTCTGCTTTGATTTGATTTAACCCACTTGTTTATTCTTCTTGCTCCATCTAGGATAATATTCTTTGTTGAAACATCTTGAGCATCACTTTGCTTGCGTGAGAAATCAGTACAGTGGTCCTGTGGTTGCTACACTTTTAGCATCTCATCTTGGGAATGGATTGTAAATGGAATATTTCTGGTCTCTGCGTCAATGTTGGTCTCTTGAAACTGAATGTTGAGTTTCAAGCCAACTTCACCCACATCAAGTGGCTCTTTAGTTCCTCTTCACTTTCTGCCTTTAGAGTGGTATCATCTGCATATCTGAGCTTGTTGGTATTTCTCCCAGCAATCTTAATTCCAGCTGGTGATTCATCTAGGCCCGCCTTTCTCATGATGTGCTCTGCATATAAGTTAAATAGGCAGGGGGTCAATATACAGCCTTGCCGAACTCCTTTCTCAATTTTGAACCAATCAGTGGTTCTGTGTCCAGTTCTCACTGTTGCTTCTTGACCCACATATAGGTTTCTCAAGAGACAAATAAGATGGTCTGGCACTCCCATCTCTTTAAAGACTATATTTATTTATTTATAGCCTGCCTTTTTCCTACAAAGGGCTCAAGGCAGCTTACATCATTCTCCTCCTCCATCTTCTCCCCACAACAACACCCCTGTGAGGTGGTTGGGCTGAGAGTCTGTGACTGGCCCAAAGCCACCCAGTGGGTTCCATGGCCGAGCGGGGACTTGAACCCAGGTCGTCTGAGTCCCGGTCCCACGCACTTCCCCACTGCACCACACTGGCTCTCACCACTGTGACTTGCCACAATGTGTTGTGAGCCACACAATCAAAGGCTTCAGCGTAGTCAATGAAGCAGAAGTAGATGTTTTTCTGGAACTCCCTGGCTTTCTCCATGATTCAGCGTATGTTGGCAATTTGATCTCTACTTTCTTTTTCTTTGGGATGGTTTAAGTTGCTTCCTCTTGTACAATGTTGCGAACCTCCCTCCATAGTTCTTCAGCCACCCTATCAGATCTAATTCCTTAAATCTATTTGTCACCTCTACTGTATATTCATCAGGGATATGATTTAGGTCATACCTGAGTGGCCTAGTGCTTTTCCCTACTTTCTTCAATTTAAGCCTAAATTTAGCAACAAGAGGGGACTGCAGGTGGTGCAGTGGTTTAAACCACTGTGCTGCTGGGCTGGTTGATCAAAAGGTCGCCGGTTCATCAAGGGACCTTTATTTTTATCCCAGTACTGCTTTTCCCACTCTTTTATTGACTATGAAGGCTACTCCATTTCTTCTGAGGGATTCTTGCCCGCAGTAGTACACCTGATGGTCATCTGAATTAAATTCGCCCATTCCTGTCCATTTTAGCTCACTGATTCCTAAGATGTCGATGTTCAGTCTTGTCATCTCTTGTTTGACCACGTCCAGCTTGCCTTGATTCATGGATCTTACATTCCAGGTTCCTATGGAGTATAGATCTTTGCAGCACCGGACTCTCCTTTCACCACCAGATACTTCAGCGACTGAGTGTCTTTTTGGCTTTGACCCAGTCGCTTCATTCTTTCTGGCACTACTAGTACTAGCCCTCTGCTCTTCCCCAGGAGCACATTGGACACTTTCCAACCTGAGGGGCTCATCTTCCGGTGTCGTATCTTTTAGCCTTTTGGTCCTGTCCATGGGGTTTTCATGGCAAGGGTACTGGAGTGGGTTGTCATTTCCTTCTCCAGTGGATCATGTTTTGTCAGAGTTCTCTGCTATGACCTGTCTGTCTTGGGCAGCCCTGCATGGCATGGCTCATAGCTTCATTGAGCTACGCCAGCCCCTTCGCCACGACAAGGCCGTGATCCATGAAGGGGCTTCTATATTAGAGAGTGCCAAGTTGGGACCTGCTCAATGATTTTAAAAGACTCTCCAGGTGGGGTGCCGCATGATTAGGATTATGACGTGAGGACCTTTTTGCTGATCTGTGCGGGGTGGCGGGGGAAGCACGAACATGACGCTCAGCCCACGTTGCGCGTCGGTTCGCGTTGGTGCGCGCGCGTGTAATGTGCGGCCTCCTGCGCGATCCAGAGCGGCCGAAAGGCGGAGCGCCCGACCCAGCGGCGTCGCTGGCAGCAGCGCTGTGCGCGCGCTCTTCCCGGCCCCCGCGTGGGGTCGCGCATTTACGCTTCCGCGGGCCGAGGGCGATGCGCGGCCGCCGGGACGCAGAGGGGCCGCGGCTCCGCCCGCCGCCGGCGTTCGGGCAAGTCCGCGACTCCACGCGGGGGTCCGGCTGAGCGCGCGCACAGCGCTGCTGCCAGCGACGCCGCTGGGTCGGGCGC